CTGGAGTGCGTCACACCCTGCGTCATTATGTACTGGAGTGTGATAAAATTAATGAATTTAGAAACAACTCACTCAGAAGTGTTCAAGAAATGGCTAAGTATTTTATCTACAGTGGTATATTACAGACCATTCTGGAGAAATACCCTGACTTTGCTAGCTGTAAATAAAGCATTACCACATATGTGCATGTGTGGTGTGTGTGTGTGTGTGTGTGTGTGTGTGTGTGTGTGTGTGTGTGGTGTGTGTGTGTGTGTGTGTGTGTGTGTGTGTTTGTGTGTATGTGTGTGTGTGTGAGTGTGTGAGTGTGTGTGTGTGTGTGTGTGTGTGTGTGTGTGTGTGTGTGTGTGTGTGTGTGGTTGTGTGTGTGTGTGTGTGTGTGTGTGTGTTGTGTGTGAGTATGAGTGTGTGTGTGTGTGTAGATGTGTGTGTGTGTATGAGTGTGTGTGGTGTGTGTATTGAGTGTGTGTGCGTGTGTGTATGAGTTGTGTGTGTGTGGTGTGTGTGTGTGTGTGTGTGTGTGTGTGTGTGTGTGTGTTGTGTGTGTGTGTGTGTGTGTGTGTGTGTTTTATGTGTTGTAGTGTGTTGTGTGTATGAATTTGTATGTGTGTGTGTGTGTGTGTGTGTGTGTGTGTGTTGTGTGACTCAACAATCAATATTTGCACCAATAACTCACTACAGTTGTGACCGGGTGTGGAAGTGTGAATTGCTCATTACTCTAAAATTTGTTCATGATTGCAGCCATGTATAAACGTAAGTAACCATTTCTACAGTATTCATTACCTTTGTAACTTGTGAGTTCATTACCTTTGTAACTTGTGAGTTCATTACCTTGTACCTAGTTCAGCCATCAAAACTTTGGAGCCCGGTCCCTGCACCCATTGTGTACCTCTGTAATCTGTACATACCTTTGTAACTTGTCATGATTGTGACTAGACCTACCTGGAGTTCATTACCTTTGTAAATTGTGAGTTCATTACCTTCGTAAATTGTGAATTCATTACCTCTGTAACTTGCTCAGCTATCAAAACTTTGAGGCCCAGTCCCTGGACCAATTATGTACCTCTGTAATCTTTTGACTACCGCCCACAGGATGGGTATGGGGTGCATAATAAACATATTAAACTAACTAAACTAAAACCTAGGCAAATGCCTAGTTTGTCTATGTGGTAATCCAGCCCTGACCCCACAGTCTTGTGAGGGGCTGAGCCCTGATGGAAGGGGCTAGTGGACTATCACTTCCTTATTCTTTCAACAGCTTTATTAAAACCATATGTGTACAAGGCGTCACTAGGCGTCACCAGGTGACGCCTGGTGTAACGTACAATATTATAAACGTATTGTAAACGTACAATAACTGGTGTTTGGTCACAGCAAGAAGGTTAGATATTGACCTGCGTCTCAGTGATGTACAGGTCACAGGTTGTGACTATCAGTCCACAGGTAAACAAGGGCACAGCAAGAGGGACCAGGAGTGAAGGTGCGTTACTCAGGTCCCTGACGTCACCTTGACTTCACTAATGTGTGTCAAGCTGAGGTCAGCAAGAGGGACCAGGAGTGAAGGTGCGTTACTCAGGTCCCTGACGTCACCATGACTTCACTAATGTGTGTCAAGCTGAGGTCAGCAAGTGGGACCAGGAGCGAAGGTGCGTTACTCAGGTCCCTGACGTCACCTTGACTTCACTAATGTGTGTCAAGCTGAGGTCAGCAAGTGGGACCAGGAGCGAAGGTGCGTTACTCAGGTCCCTGACGTCACCTTGACTTCACTAATGTGTGTCAAGCTGAGGTCAGCAAGTGGGACCAGGAGCGAAGGTGCGTTACTCAGGTCCCTGACGTCACCTTGACTTCAGTAACCACCTTGAACATCTCACAATATATTCTGCTAAGAACAAAGACAACAGTGAAATAGGAAAACACAAGGTAAATGATGTGTCGTGTTACACTCAAGTGTAATGTACACTGAGGTAATGTGTTGTGTCAGTGTTACACTCAATTAAGTGTACACGGAAGTGTGTTGTGTCAGTTTTAAAACACTCAAGTGTAAGTTACACTGGGGGAAGGTGTTTTTTCATGTTACACTAAAGGTAAGTGTACACTGGGGAAGTTTTGTTCGTGTTACCCAAGGAAGGTAACTGAGGGCTGTTTTGTTCAGTTTTACACTAAAGTGTAAGTGTACCGGGGGAAGTGGTTGATCATTTACACCAAAGTGTAAGGTACCGGGGAAGGGTTGTTCAGTTTTACACTCAAGTAAATGTATACTGGGGACTGTGTTTGCCCAGTGTTACACTCAAGTGTAAGTGTACACGGGGAAGTGTGTTTGTCAGTGTTACACTAAAAGGTAAGTGAAAACGGGGGTAATTGTTGGTCAGTGTTACACTCAAGTGTAAGTGTACCGGGGGTAATCTCTCTAAACTTAAGAAAAGAAAAGATTTCTTTGGGGTTTTTTAAACCCCGGGGGTTACCACCCAATAACCCAAAAAAAGTCAGTGCGTCATCGGGGACTGCCCAACTTATTTCCATTGGGCCCTTTAACTGTCCCCCAGATGCCACCCACCCGTCCACTAAACCCGGACCTATTTGTCAGTGAACAGGACAACAGGTGAAAGGAAAACGGTCGAAGTTTCCACCCGCCGGAACGAACCCGGCCCACCGTTGTGAAGCGGGAGCTTTAGCCACCAGGCCACCGGGCCACACCAGGCACCAGGCCGGGATACCAGAGTTGAAATAAAGTGAAAAGGGGGGATTAAAATGACATCATAAAAGAGAGGATTAAATGCACTCATAGCAAAGGTTTAAATACATTTCATAGCAGGGGATTACAATGACACCAACATAAAAAGGGGATTAAAAGACATCATCATACAGGGGATTACAATGACACAACATAGCAAGGATTAAATGACATCAACATAGCGGGGGATTACGTGACATCAACATAGCGGGAAAATTTTACAAGGGATTACAATACATCAACATAGCGGGGGAATTCATGAGGATTAAAATGACTCAACATAGCAGAGGTTACAATGACATCAACAAACAGGGATTACAAATACCAAATACCAAGGATTAAATGAATACATAGCAGGGGATACAGGACTCAACAAGCAGGGATTACAATGACAAAACTGCAGAGATTACAATGAAATAAAATGACGGGGGATTACAGGGGCAAAACATAGCAGAAGATTACAATGACAAAACATAGCAGAGGATTAAAAGACATAAACTAGCAGAGATTACAATGACATAAATATAGCGGGGGATTACAATACATCAACAACAGGGGATTACAATAACATCAACATAGCAGGGGATTCAATGACATAATATAGCGGGGGATTACAGTGCACAACAGACGGGGGGTTACAAGACATCAACATAACAGGGGTTACAATGACAAAAACATAGCGGGGGTTACAATGAATCAATATAGCAGGGGATTACATGACAAAACATACAGGGATTACATGACATCAACATAACAGGGATTACAAACTCAACAAAACGGGGGATTACAATGACATCAACATAACGTACATTAACATACAAAGGGGTTAGAGTGGGGTTACAAAGGGGTTAAGTGGGGTTACAAGGGGTTAGATGATTTTACAGGGGGGTTAGAGTGGGGTTACAGAGGGGTTAGAGGGGGTTACGGGGGGTTAAAAGGTGGGGTTACAGGGGGGTTAGAGGGGTTTACAGAGGGTTAGAGTGATTTTTACAGAGGGGTTTAGAGTGGGTTTTTACAGGGGGGGTTAGATGAGGTTACAGGGGGGTTTAGAGTGAGGTTAAAAAGGGGGTTTTAGAGGGGGTTACAAGGGTTAGAGTGAGGTTACAGGGGGGTTAGAGTGGGGTTTACAGGGGGTTTTAGATGGGGTTACGAGGGGTTTTAGGGGAGGTTCCCGAGAGGTTAGGGGAAGGTTACGGGGGGGGGTTTAGAGTGGGGTTTACAGAGGATTAGATGGGGTTTACAGAGGGTTTTGAGTGGGGTTACAGGGGGGTTAGATTGAGGTTACAGAGGGTTTTTAGAGTGAGGTTACGAGGGGTTAGATGAGGTTACAGAAGGTTAAGTGAGGTTAACTTAGGGTCTAAATAAAAAAAGACCTTCCTTCTGGGGCAAAATTCGGGTTTTGTATTCGCTCGGTAAACCCCTCGCTGTAGCAGTCTCGCGCGGTGTATAAACCTTTTCCAGCTTCTGCCCTCAGAGGGGGTTAGCCACAACCTCCTGTAGTGCGCCCCCGTCCACACCGGTGTATACATATTATTTTCACCACACAAGCACCGGATATAAAAATTTTACATGTCATAGGGCTTGTGACCTAGCTGACACAATGACATACACTATATAGGGAAGGTCCCCCTTTCATGCACAATTCCCCCAATTAGGTCATTTTTATCCCAGGATGCGACCCCACCAATCCCTAACACCCCAATTCCATTTTACTATGGGTGAACTAGACAGCAGGGGTCTTATTTAAACACGTCTTTTACTTCCAGCCCTACCGGGGAAACCCCGGACCTCAGTGTGTGAGCTGAGTGAGTTAGTGACCACTACGGGGAAACCTAACAATACATAATATCCAACTACATAGTCTGTCAAGTCTAAAAATAATAACGGAAACCCTTTGCGTCGAGGGAAGCTTCGCGACCTGTTTCCCCCCAATGCCGCAAACCGCCAGAAACAGGGGCCTTGTGGGGAGACCCGTCAGGTTTTGGGTTATGTCGGGGGGTTGTTGTCGAGACCTTCTCCAGCCCGTAAGGGCTACACCATTTTGTCCAGCACCAACCCAGGCACCAACACCACAGTCCAGGACCAGGGGTCGTAGTTACTAAGACCCCTTGGGAATTTTTTTTTAAGGAGTTCACGTCAGCGGGCCCCCCGGTGACCAATCTGGATATGTACTGAGTATTGTTGGGTACTGGTCCACTCGGCCCTTTTCATCAGGGTGAGGCCACACTCCTGGGGCTTCAAAATCGTTTTTTGGCTGACGTCACAGCTGACCCTACTTCTCCTGGAAGACCTCCACTGACGGTAGTAGTCTCAGCGCGAGGGTTTCGGCTGTTAGACTTTTCCAGAGTCATCTCCGTCGTTGTGTTCCAGCAGTTCAAGTTAACCTGACAACAACACCAACAACTTATCTTAATTTAATTTTCATTTTGCTTTCCCTCTAGCTTCCCCCTAGCTTTTTCTTTAGCTTTCCCCTAGCTTTCCCCCTACTTTCCTTTTGCCCTTTCCCCCCTATTTTTTTTCTAGCTTTCTCTTTTGCTTTCCCTCTAGCTTTTCCTCTAGCTTTCTCTTTAGCTTTTCCCCTAGCTTTCCCCCTAGCTTTCTCTTTTGCTTTCCCTCTTCTTTTTCCTCTGCTTCCTCTTTAGCTTTCCCCCACTTTCCCTCAGCTTTCCTTTAGTTTTACTAGTTTCTTAACGAAACCACATCACCCACTAACCTTTCACACAGCATCGTGGGGTTCACTGCGCCAGACCTAGGTCTTTCCCTCTGGCAGGGTTTGGGTCTACCCTAGGTTTCCATCTGGCGGCTTGGCTCACCCTAGGGCTTTTCCATCTGGGAGCTTTGGGTCTACCCCCGGTCTTCCATCGGCGCTTGGCTCACCCTAGGTCTTTTCCCTCTGGCAGGCTTGCTCACCCAGGGCTTTCCAAACTGGCAGGTTTGGCTCACCCAGGTCTTTCCCCTGGCCTTGGCTCTCCCCCCGGGCTTCCATCTGGCAGACCGGGGCTCCCAAGAACTCCATCTGGCAGACCTGGGTCTACCCAGGGGTTCCCCCTGGGAGAAACCCGGGTCTACCCAGGGCTTCCTCTGGCAGACCCGGGTCTACCCCGGGTTTTTATTCACCAAGTTCTCACACACCCAGACACTAGTAATCATAGCCACACACTGATTTTTGCCCCATCCCACTGACCCAAATGACTCGAAGAAATAATTCTGGTTGGGAGAATACATTAGGGTACATGTAGGGACAGTAGGGTACAGTAGGGTACAGTAGGGAAAATGTAGGTACATTAGGGAAAATAGGGGCACGTGAGTACAAAGTAGGGGTACACGTAGGGGACATTTTGGGGACAGTAGGGTACACGAGGGTACATTGTTTTTAAAGTAGGGTACATAGGGTACAGAGGGTACAGGGGCAGCGGAAGATAATTTTCCCAAAACAAATTTATAGCAGAAAGTTGTTAACCCCCACACACCCTTCCGTTTTAACCTCAGGTTCACCAGCAACAACGTGCAAACACAACGGTGACTATGGTACCCTCACGTACCCACCCCATCACCACCATAGGTACCATAACTGCCTACCTCATCATCACCACTATGGGACCCCTAACTGTACCTACCTCATCACCACCACTATGGACCATAACGTACCTACCCCATCAACACCCCCTATGGTACCATAACTGTACCTACCTCATCACCACCACTATGGTACCATAACTGTACCTACCTCATCATCACCACTATGGTACCATCACTGTACCTACCTCATCATCACCACTATGGTACCATAACTGTACCTACCTCATCACCACCACTATGGTACCATCACTGTACCTACCTCATCATCACCACTATGGTACCATAACTGTACCTACCTCATCATCACCACTATGGCACCATAACTGTACCTACCTCATCACCACCACTATGGTACCATAACTGTACCTACCTCATCACCACCACTATGGTACCATAACTGTACCTACCTCATCACTACCACTATGGTACCATAACTGTACCTACCTCATCACCACCACTATGGTACCATAAAGTACCTACCTCATCACCACCACTATGGTACCATAACTGTACCTACCTCATCACCACCACTATGGTACCATAACTGTACCTACCTCATCACCACCACTATGGTACCATAACTGTACCTACCTCATCACCACCACTATGGTACCATAACTGTACCTACTTCATCACCACCACTATGGTACCATCACTGTACCTACCTCATCACCACCACTATGGTACCATCACTGTACCTACCTCATCACCACCACTATGGTACCATAACTGTACCTACCTCATCACTACCACTATGGTACCATAACTGTACCTACCTCATCCCCACCATAATGGAAGAGGTCCAGAGGAGTGAAGAGCTTGGCTATCTCCTGGTATATCTGTCCAAGTACCAGGTAGATGTTGGGGTTGGCCAGGTTCAACTGGCCACACGGAGGTTCAACACAGTAAGACTGCCAGGGTTCCTGTCACAGTAAGAGTTCATTACTTGTACTGCGAGACTTTAAGAATTGCTGGTGGTGACATAATTGATAATTGATAATTAGACACAAGTCCAACATCTGGGAATCTTTATCGTAGACGTGTCACCATCCAGTGGCTTTATCAGTACAAATTCCAGGACATGACTGGAAGACAGAAGAACTATATATGAAAGATAAGGTAATCAGTCCCTGAATCTTGGTGTTGGTGTGAGGAACACCATAGTTGTGGAGATCCTGGAGATCCTGGAGATCCTGGAGATCCTGGAGATCCTGGTCATGGACCGGGCCGCGGGGGCGTTGATCCCCGGAATAACCTCCAGGTAACCTCCAGGTAACCTCCAGGTAAGAAGGCTGGTGCTTATATACTGGCGTCAGGTGGTAAGTGACGGGTAGCAGACGAGGCCATAGTCTTGCCTGTGTTCCAGGATCTCCAGGATCTCCAGGATCTCCACAACTATGGTGTTCCTCACACCAACACCAAGACTCAGGGACTGATTACCTTATCTTTCATATATAGTTCTGTCTTCCAGTCATGTCCTGGAATTTGTACTGATAAAGCCACTGGATGGTGACACGTCTACGATAAAGATTCCCAGATGTTGGACTTGTCTATGATTATTATCTTCTGGGTATTGTTTACCGTTGTTGTTTGCCGTTGTTGTTTACCGTTGTTATTTACCTTTGCTGTTTACCGTTGTTGTGCCTCAATTTATTTACAAGTTAAGACTTGTTATTCTACTTAACTTAGCAAACTGTGTTAGTTTAAAAACATCAATGAGGTAACAGTCAGACACTTGAGGTAAAACATCAACACAGCTGCGACACTTGAGGTAGACAGTCAGACACAGCTGCGACACTTGAGTAGACATCAACACAGCTGCGACACTTGAGGTAGACAGTCAGACACAGCTGCGACATTTGAGGTAGACAGTCAGACACAGCTGCGACACTGAGGTAGACAGTCAACACAGCTGCGACACTTGAGGTAGACAGTCAGACACAGCTGCGACACTTGAGGTAGACAGTCAGACACAGCTGCGACACTTGAGGTAGACAGTCAGACACAGCTGCGCCCACTTGGGGTAACAGTCAGACACAGCTGCGAAAACTTGAGTAGACAGTCAACACAGCTGCGAAAATTTGAGTAGACAGTCAGACACAGCTGCGACACTTAGGTAGACAGTCAGACACAGCTGCGACACTTGAGGTAGACAGTCAGACACAGCTGCGACACTTGAGGTAGAAAAGTCAGACCAGCTGCGACACTTGAGGTGACATCCAGACACACTGCGACACTTGAGTAGACAGTCAGACACAGCGCGACATTTGAGGTAGCAGTCAACCTTTGTTAGACATGTTAAACAGTTAGACATTGTTATACAAACTTTTCACCCACAAATAACTTGTTCAGTCAGAGACAGCAGCAGTGTGGTAGTGGTTAAGATGGTCCATATTAAGCGGGGTTTGGGAATCTAGAGGACTTGCTTAACATGGACCAGTGGGGCCTCCTGCAGTGCTCCTCAATTCTTGCCACTCATCTACTGGTTGTCTCAAACTCCTGCTACGTCACCAACACCTTCAGGAGTATTTAAGTCACTTTAATGTTTCAGCTCTACATTGTTCCAGACTATAGAGCTGAACTCTTCACCAGGCTGAGGGACTGACCTCCCTCACAACTGCTTCTTCTCCAGGCTGAGGGACTGACCTCCCTCATAACTTCGCCACTGCTGCCTTTGTATTTAACTGAATAAGTCTTCTGTGTAGGCGAAACGTTTCTATCAACACAATAAATACTCAGGTGTTGCACCTGTGTCCTACTCTTCACCCAGGTACCTACTTACTGTTAGGTGAACAGGAACAAACAGAATACTCACCCTGTTAACGCAGAGTGCCAACTTGCCCAATCCCTGTTGCTCTGTCCACTGCCAACCGTTACCAACGTGGGCAGGGGCATCGAACTCAGGCAGTACCCTGATGCCCCGTACTCGACCATACTGGACCACCTCCTTGACTTCCTTCGGGTGGTAAATTTGCCTAGAGGAGTAGGCCCCGTAGTAGGCCATGTTAGGTAGGCTCTTCAGGTAGAGAGGGAAGGAATGAGAGTCAGTAAGGTGCCAGTGGAAGGTGTTTAGCTTGTTGGCACTCATGGCATCGATGGTCCGCTTAATGGAGGCAATGCTAAAGAAGTTCCTTGAGGTATCCAACAGGAGACCTCGGTACTTGAAGACCGGTGAGTCGTAGATGGAAGCTGAGGTCACTACCATCAGGGTATCACAGATCTCATGGTAGTCCACCAGCTGAAGAATGGTCTCCAGACCATGGCGGGCCCCGAAGAAGTTTTGGGCACTGATGGTGGCCGTGGTCACCTGCCCTACAGTGACCAACTGCAGCTGGTACGACTCATCCGTCTGCAAGGTCAGATAGGACTCTAGTCCCCGGACCTTGATGACCACCTGGAGGGTATGTGTGGCACTAGATGGCTCCCAGGGCACACTCCAGGGGGCACCGACCCCCGCCACGTAATACGGATGGTATTTCTCTAAATTGTCCTTAAAGAGGTCAAAGGCCTCTTTTATCAGAGTCTCCACTTGTTCCGGCACCTTGGAGACGAGGGCCACATTCCTGGGCAGGAACTGGACCACTTCAGTGCCAATACTAGCGGTCTGGGGCCGCGGCCACAGCACTCCAAATGGTCCACACGTCAATTTACACTGGTTAAGAGTGACCAAACCTGTCACACCTGTGTTGAGATGTTTCACACACCTGCCATTGGTACACCTGTACCCCCAGGGTGACGGCATACTGTAGAAGTAGATGTATATATAAATGTACAGATATACAAGTACATTTTATTAATATTAAATAAGTAAAAGTACCTTCCTACTAAGTATAAAAATTACATGGGTCGGTTAACACATGTTACAGCACTTTACAATCCAAATTACCATCTCTTAAAGAAATAAATCACGTAAACAACTGTAAAACACACGAGAAGTTAAATACCATCATGGATAACTCAAAAACAAACTGAAAAAGCTAAAAAAGGGAAGAAAAACTGAAAAAAACGACGAAAAACAAGAGATTAAATATAAAGATGAGCTGAGAGACCCTTAAATACTGCACCACTTACTGCCACGACCGGTCATCACTCTAACATATATGACTACATATAATATATAATATACATATAATATATATATATATATATATATATATATATATATATATAAATATATAATATATATAAAAATATTATATAAAATTTTACCACCCTTGAAGGAAGCTTGGTTAAGTTTAAAAGGAGAGCTCCAAGCAAAGGGACGTAAACCACCCTGTCTTCATCATTATCTGGAATAATAATAAAAAATAATAATAATAATAATAATAATATTTACTACAAATACATGTACAAGGATAAACAAAGTAAAATGTACAAGGTATACAAGTACATGTACAAGGTATACAGTACATGTACAAGGTATACAAATACATGTACAAGGATACAAGTACATGTACAAAGGTATACAAGTACATGTACAAGGATACTAGTACATGTACAAGGTATACAAGTACATGTACAAGGTATACTAGTACATGTACAAGTATACAAGTACATGTACAAGGTATACAAGTACATGTACAAGGTATACAAGTACATGTACCAAGGATACAAGTACATGTACAAAGGGATACAAGTACATGTACAAGGTATACTATACATGTACAAGGTTATACAAGTACATTTCAAGGTATACAAGTACATGTACAAGGTAACTAGTACATGTACAAGGTAACAAGTACATGTACAAGGTATACAAATACAAAGTACAAGGTATACAAGTACATGTACAAGGTATACAAGTACATGTACAAGTATACAAGTACATGTACAAGTATACTAGTACATTTTACAAGGGATACAAGTACATGTAAAAAGGTATACAAGTACAATGTACAAGGTATACAAGTACATGTACAAGGTATACAAGTACATGTACAAGGTATACTAGTACATGTACAAGGTATCTAGACATGTACAAGGTATACAAGTACATGTACAAGTAAACAAGTACATGTACAAGTATACCCAAATACATGTACAAGGTATACAAGTACATGTACAAGGTATACAAGTACATGTACAAGGTATACAAGTACATTTTCAAGTATACAAGTACATGTACAAGGCATACCAGTACATGTACAAGGTATACCCAAATACATTACAAGGTAACTATACATGTACAAGGTATACTAGACATGTACAAGGTATATCTAGTACAGTACAAGGGATACAAGTACATGTACAAGGTATACTAGTAAAAATGTACAAGGCATACCATACATGTACAAGGTAACTAGTACATTACAAGGTATACAAGACATGTACAAGGTATACAAGTACATGTACAAGGTATACTAGTACATGTACAAGTATACAAGTACAGTACAAGGTATACAAGTACATGTACAAGGGATAAAAAGTACATGTACAAGGTATACAAGTACATGTACAAGGTATACAAGTCAAGAACAAGTATACAAGTACAAAGTACAATTATACAAGTACATGTACAAGGCATACCAGTACATGTACAAGGTAAACAAGTACATGTACAAGTATACAAGTACATGTACAAAGTATACAAGTACATGTACAAGGGATACAATACATGTACAAGGTATACAATTTCATGTACAAGGGATACAAGTACTGTACAAGGTATACAAGTACATGTACAAGGTATACAATACATGTACAAGGTAAAACTAGTACATGTACCCAAGGTTAAAAACAAGTACATGTACAAGGTATACAAGTACATGTACAAGGTATACAAGTACATGTACAAGGTATACAAGTACATGTACAAGGTATACAAGTCATGTACAAGGTAACAAGTACATGAAAAGGTAAACAAGTACATGTACAAGGTAACAAGTACATTACAAGGTATACAAGTACATGTACAAGGTATACAAGTACATGTACAAGTTATACAATACAAGTACAAGGCATACCATACAGTACAAGTATAACAATAAAATGTACAAGGTATACAAGTACATGTACAAAGTATACAAGTACATTACAAGGGATACAAGTACATGTACAAGGTATACAAGTACATGTACAAGGTATACCAATACATGTACAAGGTATACAAGTACATGTACAAGGTATACCATACATGTACAAGGTATACAAGTACATGTACAAGGTATACCAAGTTACATGTACAAGGTATACAATACATGTACAAGGTATACAAGTACATGTACAAGGTATACAAGTACATGTACAAGGTATACAAGTTACATGTACAAGGTACAAAAATACATGTACAAGTACACAAGTACATGTACAAGGTACACAAGTACATGTACAAGGTACACAAGTACATGTACAAGGTACACAAGTACATGTACAAGGTACACAAGTACATGTACAAACTATACAAGTACATGTACAATTTAATTCAATTCAATTCAAGTTTATTCTCTATAAGGTTACAATGTGGGGTTACAGTTTTGGGTATTGTGTGGTTACATGTTATAAAATACTAATTACAAAGGGGGCCACTAGGACACCTAGCATGGCTAGGCATTTCCAGCAGACTTAGATTAATTCTTAACATTAAATCCTACAGATTATGTAAATTTAAGCTAAGTGACACATATAATTGTGAGTTTAGCAATGTGAAAGCTTTTGGGTTTTTCACATTTCAAAGTGTCTATATTGGGGTATCATAGACAAAATATGACTAGTTGAATTTATTATTTTAAGATTAAGATTAGTATTTCTGGGTTTATAGTCATGTGTGAGTGAGTGTAATTGGAACCACCAGGTGGTTATCATGTAGTTAGTTGTCGGGGGGGTCAGGGAGATAAGAGTTTTCTAACTGTAGTTTTGATGGGGATGAAAGTGTCTGCAGTTCTAAGTTCTCAGGTAGGTGTTCCAGATTTAGGTCCTTTGAAATACATTGAATTTTTTGTAAAGGTTTAGTCGAACACGAATGTCATAGAGATTTTGTGTCTGGGTTGTGCCTGTGGTTCTGTCACATCTATCAAGAAAGCGTTTTAGGTAAAGGGTTAAATTGAAATTTAAGGTCCTGTAATGTAGACTGCACAGTAGAAATTGTGGATGTTCTGACAGGGAGTAAGTTTAGATCTATGAAGATTAGGGGGGGGTTGCCAGGGAGGGGATTTAGCGATTATTTTTAAACTGCGGTTTTTTGTTGGGGTTAAAATTGCTTTAGTGTGTTGCTGCAGTTGATCCCCAACACAGATAGCATGGGTGAGGTAGGATATATAAGTAATGGATATGTGAGAAGGGCCCCGTAGTACGTATTTTGGAGAGGATCCCACTGTTTTGGATACTTTTTGTTATGTGTTGGATATGGGTACTGAAGTTCAGGTTGTTGTCGGGTATAGGCCTAAAATTTGCCCTCATTATGTCTGGTAATTAGAGTGTTGTCGATCTTAAGGGTTAATTTGTGCATCTCCTGCTCTGCTACCAAACATAATATAGTAGGTTTTGTCAGGTTTAAGTGTAAGTTTTTTGCTGTCATCCAAGTCGATATTTGATCATCCTCATTAACAATGGGTTGAGGGTGGCAAGATTAGGTGAAAAGATAAATAAGTCGTGTCCATCAGCAAAGAGAATGAGTTTCAGGTGTTGGGATATTTTGGGAAAAATCATTGATGTAATGAGAAGAGCAGGGACCAAGGACACTTCCCGCGGAACTCCAGTATCAAGTGGGCCCCTCACACCAGTCCACTAACACCCAGGATGCCCCCCACACCAGTCCACTCCCCAAACCCCGGATCCACCCACACCAGTCCACTAACACCCAGATGCCAAACCCACACCAGTCCACTAACACCCAGGATGCCCCCCACACCAGTCCACTAACACCCAGATGCCACTCACACCAGTCCACTAAACACCCAGGAAAGCCACCCACACCAGTCCACTAACACCCAGGATGCCACCCACACCAGTCCACTAACACCCAGGAAAGCCACCCACACCAGTCCACTAACACCCAGGATGCCACCCACACCAGTCCACTAACACCCAGGATGCCACCCACACCAGTCCACTAACACCCAGGATGCCACCCACACCAGTCCACTAACACCCAGGATGTGACCCACACCAGTCCACTAACACCCAGGATGCCGCCCACACCAGTCCACTAACACCCAGGTACCCATTTTCCCGATGGGTGAACAAAGACAACAGATGTAAGGCAACACTCCCAATGTTTCTACCCTCGCTGGGAATCGAACCCGGACCCTCACCGTGTGAAGCGAGACTTTTAGCCACCAGGCCAGGGGGCAACGTATAATAATAATAATAATAATAATAATAATAATAATAATAATAATAATAATAACAACACTTGGTTTAGGGTTCGTAAAACCGGTTACAAAACCCGTACTGACTGGGGTGAACACCCTGATGTTGGGGTATCTGGGGGTATGACAGGGTATCTGGGGGTATGACAGGGTATCTGGGGTTATGACATGTATCTTGGGGAACAATAGGGTATCTGGGGGTATGACAGGGTATCTGGGGGTATGACAGGGTATCTGGGGTTATGACATGGTATCTTGGGGAACGATAGGGTATCTGGGGGTATGACAGGGTATCTGCGGGTATGACAGGGATCTGGGTTATGACATGGGACTTGGGAACGATAGGTATCTGGGGGTATGACAGGGTATCTGCGGGTATGCCAGGGTATCTTGGGGTATGACAGGGTATCTGCTCGTATGACAGGGTATCTGCGGGTAC